TAATTTGGCACAAATGTTCATCATTGTGAGGCTGAGTGCCGTGCATAAAATTCAGGTCCCTGCGACCAAGGTCAAGGTCACACATTCTGTGCATATCTTCCCTATTGATTTGTTTTAAGGTTCATTTAACAACACAGTGCCAAGAATAAAAACTTGCTTGCTAGATAACACTTATCCATAATGCCCCCATCTCCATCTAGAGCTTTTTCGTAAACGGGCGTATTTTGTGACTATGGCACCCTTGTTTACATTATGTACATATAGTAAAAACTTAAAATACCTTCTTGTCTTAAAGATTTGATATTTGGTATATGATAATTATCATCTATAGGTCCTCTACCAAAGTTGTTCAAATTTTGCCTCTAGTATCAAAATTAGCCCCGCCCCGGGGGCCATAGGTTTTCCTTATATGTATATAGTAAAAACTTTTAAAAAATCATCTTCTCTAAATTGACAAATGCTGGAGGTTAGATATTTTGCATGATACATTGTGTAGTGAACCTCTACCAAGATTGTTCAAATTAAAGCCCTGCGGTCAAAATTGGCCCTGCCCCGGGGTCATTGATTTTCACTATGTACATATAGTAAAAAAATTAAAAATCTTATTGTCTGAAGGTACAAGGCTAAGAGCTTTGATATTTGGTATATGATATCATCTATAGGAACTCTACCAAAGTTGTTCAAATTTTGCCTCTAGTGTCAAAATTAGCCCCGCTCCGGGGCCATAGGTTTTCCTTATATGTATGTAGTGAAAACTTTAAAAAATCATCTTCTCTAAATTGACAAATGCTACAGGTTAGATATTTTGCATGAAACATTGTGTAGTGAACCTCTAGCAAGATTGTTTAAATTATAGCCCTGGGGTCAAAATTGGCCCCGCCCCGGGGGTCATTGATGTTCAGTCACTATGTACATATAGTAAAAAATTAAAAATCTTATTGTCTGAAGGTACAAGGCTTAGAGCTTTGATGTTTGCTTTATAATATCAGCCATAGGTCCTCTACCAAAGGTGCCCCTGGTGTCAAAATTGGCCCTGCCCGAGGGGCATTGATTTTCATTATGTACATATAGTAAAAACAGAAACTAAAACAAATGTTTTCTGAATTGGAGAAAGCTACAGCTTAGATATTTGACATGAAATGTTGTTTGGTGAACCTGTATCAAGATTATTTGAATTTAAACCCTTGGGTCAAAATTTTGCCTTGCCCAAGGGGACAGTGACCTACTTTCTTGTCCTTTGATGTACAGCCATGGAATTTGGATTATGTGCACAGTTTTAGTTGTAAAATTAACTTTGATATCAGGTGACCTAGATTTTGATGATGTGACCTACATGTACTTTCTTGTGCTTTGATGTGCAGCTATGAAATTTGAACCATGTGCACAGATTAAGATGTAAAGTGAACTTTGATATCAGCTGGTCTAGATTTTGACAAAGTGTCTTACTGTGTTGTCCTCTGATGTACAGTCATGGAATTTTGGCCATGTGAAATATGACCTTTACCACCAAATTCACTAGACTCAACTGCATTGATAGATTCCTACTCTGATCTTTTATTTGAATAACAAAAGATTTAACCACTAATCTGATAATAAGAATTAGATAGGTCATTGATCTATGCATTATGGCAGACTTCAATTGTATAGAAACAAAAAAGATTCTGTTAATGGGTTGGCTTAGCATTTTTCACAAATGCAATCTTGTTTTTTTTGTGCTGTCAATAAAATGACTGAACATTTTCGATTATATCGTTCAGGCTTGCCTGGAGGCAAACGGGCGTTTGAATTTCAAACAAAGCTAGTTTCAGTATTAATTTTCAAAAAAAAATGTCCATCAGTACACGTATATATCTGGTACGTTTTGCGTAATACGTCATGTAATTATGCATAAGCTATATTCATCGTCTTCAGCGAATATACTGACAATAGTCGAGAATAATCGTTAATGTTCGCTGGTTAAGTAAAGAGTAAGTTATTATCGTTAATTTCCGTTAGAAATACATGTGTTTTTAAATTGACTGTTTAGATTATACATGACTTTGTTTAGATTATGTGATTACATGTCTGAAGTAAACATGATCTGCCACGCTTCCTTTTAGATGTTTGTTTTTAGCTCACCTGTCACAAAGTGACAGGGTGAGCTTTTGTGATCGCTTTTCGTCCGGCGTCCGTCCGTCGTCCGTCCGTCCCTCGTCCGTCCGTAAACTTTTGCTTTAAATGACTTCTCCTCATAAACCACTGAGCCAATTTCATCCAAGTTTCACAGGAATGTTCCTTTGGTGGTCACCTTTAAAAATTGTTCAAAGAATTTAATTCCATGCAGAACTCTGGTTGCCATGGCAACCGAAAGAAAAATCTTTAAATATCTTCTTTTAAACAACCCTAAGAGCTAGAGCTTAGATATTTGGCATGAAACATCTTCTAGTGAGTGTCTACCAAGTTTGTTCAAATAAAAGCCCTGGGGTCAAAATTGGCCCCGCCCCAGGGGGTCATCGATTTTCCCTATATGCATATAGTAAAAACTTAAAAAATCTTCTTTTGAACCCAAAGAGCTAGAGCTAAGATATTTGGCATGAAACATCTTCTAGTGAGTGTCTACCAAGTTTGTTCAAATAAAAGCCCTGGGGTCAAAATTGGCCCCGCCCCGGGGGGGTCATTGATTTTCCCTATATGCATATAGTAAAAACTTAAAAAATCTTCTTTTAAAGAACCGTAAGAGCTAGAGCTTAGATATTTGGCATGAAACATTTTCTAGTGAGTGTCTACCAAGTTTGTTCAAATAAAAGCCCTGGGGTCAAAATTGGCTCCGCCCCAGGGGGTCATTGATTTTCCCTATATGCATATAGTAAAAACTTAAAAAATCTTCTTTTAAAGAACCCAAAGAGCTAGAGCTAAGATATTAAGCATGAAACATCTTCTAGTGAGTGTCTACCAAGTTTGTTCAAATTAAAGCCCTGGGGTCAAAATTGGCCCCGCCCCGGGGGGTCATTGATTTTCCCTATATGCATATAGTAAAAACTTAAAAAATCTTCTTTTAAAGAACCATAAGAGCTAGAGCTTAGATATTTGGCATGAAATGTCTTCTAGTGAATGTCTACCAAGTTTGTTCAAATAAAAGCCCTGGGGTCAAAATTGACCCCGCCCCAGGGGGTCATAGATTTTCCCTATATGCATATAGTAAAAACTTAAAAAATCTTCTTTTAAAGAACCCAAAGAGCTAGAGCTAAGATATTTAGCATGAAACATCTTCTAATGAGTGTCTACCAAGTTTGTTCAAATAAAAGCCCTGGGGTCAAAATTGGCCCGCCCCGGGAGGTCATTGATTTTCCCTATATGCATATAGTAAAAACTTAAAAAATCTTCTTTTAAAGAACTCAAAGAGCTAGAGCTAAGATATTTAGCATGAAACATCTTCTAATGGGTGTCTACCAAGTATGTTCAAATAAAAGCCCTAGGGTCAAAACTGGCCCCGCCCAGGGGGGGGGGGGGGTCATTGATTTTCCTTATATGTGTATAGCAAAAACTTAAAAATCTTCTTTGAAAAAACCCAAATAGCTAGAGTTTAGATATTAAGCATGAAATATCTTTAAGTAAATATTTACAAAGTTTGTTCAAATAAAAGTCCGGGGGTCAAAACTGGCCCTGCCCCAGGGGTGCCATTGTTTTTAACTATATGTGTATAGTAAAAACTTTAAAAATCTTCTTTTAAAAAACCCAATGAGCTAGAACTTAGATGTTTAGCATGAAACATCTTCTTATGGGTGTCTTCCAAGTCTGTTCAAATAAACAAATAAAAGCCCTTGGGTAAAAATTGGCCCGGGGGTGGGGGGGGGGCTATATACAGGTGAGCGACCTCAGGGCCATCATGGCCCTCTTGTTATATTTAAAAAGCAATACTGCAGTAGATAGATGAGTTGGTTTCAGTAAAAAAAAAAAGAGAATTTTATTACAGAAGTGACTGATTGATTTTCCATGGTTTTGATCAAGCAATAAAAAGACTGAGCAAAAAATGTTTTGTGCCTGTGATAATCTGCCCAGGTCTTTAACTTCGCTTATATTACTAATTTACTTATGATAGAAAAAAATTACTAAAAGCACAGACACTTGGGCTGATGAGCTAAAAACGCCTTTAAAATCCAAATAAAATGTATATTTGTCCATCCCAGGACATGCACAGATCATTTATTTCTTTGTTTACTTTTTAAAGTATTTTCAACAAAGAAAATTCCTAGTCTTTAGGAATTTATGTAAGATTCAAGGAATTTACCACAGATGTTAATGATTTTGTTCCACAAGATAAATTCCAAGTAATTCCTAAAGACTAGGAATTTTGCAAAATCTTAAGTCTTAGAAATCTTAGAAAATGAATTACAATTCCTATTACTGCTTAGAAATTGATGAATTGTGAGAAAATTATAAGAAATGCCTAGTTCTCAGTAACTGGTAATTCCTAGGACATACTAGAATAGCCAAGACTGGCTTTAACATTCTGGAATTTTCTAGGATAACTACTAGGAAATACTGGGATTTTTTAAATACCATTATATATTTCTGCCAAAATTTTCCCAATATTGATTTTCCTGAAATATTTTGGCTCATCTGGAGGCGTGCAGCTTTAAAGAACTTGGAACTTTTCCAATAAATTTACTTAAATAGAGAAAAGTTGAATAGTAACTTGTACATATTCATCCTGAGAAAATTTGATCTGTTGATAATCTGTTGTATAAACATAATTTTCTTATTAGGCAGGGAAACTTCACACATAACTAGATTCAGACAAACTATAAGAACTCAAATGATTCATTCATTGACATAAGTGAATGGCCAATGGCCCTTTAGAATGATGCTGTGGTTCTAATCGGTAGGGGACTTATGAATTGCTTGCAATACAATGATAAATGATAATTGCTTGTTAACTTAAATTATTGATAAATATTGGTTATTGATATTTATCCTTTACAGGTGAACATTAACACATTATGCAAACTCTTGTTCTTTAGGTTATAGAAGCCAGTAAAAATGGTTTTGATAGTGCAGGTGTAGAACTGAATTATTGGCTTGTGTTGTATTCAAGATATAAAACATGGAGAGAAGGACAGAGAGCAAGGACTAAATTTTATAAACAAGATCTTTGGAAGGTATTTGTAAACTGAGAGCTAAAATACCCTTTTAATGTCAATTTTAAAAATCAGTGGGATAAGAAAATAAACAAGCACCAAACCCATTGTAAATTAACCCTCCCATTTAAAAGGCATTCATGGTTACTTCAGTGTGATACTGATACCGAAATGTATGTATATGTGGTTACAAAAGACAACATAAAATTCTGCTTTAAAGCTATGAGTTATTAGTGCATCGGTACTTATTTATAAAGTAATAGTGTCATGTGATACAGGTAAATTTTTTACCTGTAAAAAGCGACTTGTCATGGGTCACTGGAGTGATATGCTTGTATATCTTCGGCCTCTGGCCTAATTCCAATAATGTCCCCCATCCTTCACAGCATGTGCTTGGATGGGGGTTCCATTTTTACTATGTGCACAATTTCAGGTGTAGAACTAAAATTTGATATCAAATTACATTACCTAAATATTGACCCTAGTGACCTTCTTCCTTGTTTTTGATGTACAGCTATTTTGTTTGTTTGTTTGTTTGATTGAATTTTACATCACACCAACACAGTATAGGTCATACTGTATAGCTATGAAATAAGGACCATGTATATAGTATAATTATTGTATTTGTCTTCGCTGTCTGTCCGTCCTTTTCTCCGTCGTCCGCATTAAGCTTGTCCAGCCTTCACAGGTCAAACTTCAGGTGGGATTTCAACCAAACTTTACAGGAGTGATCAGTACCATCCTTTGTTATGCACATCACTGGCATGTTCCTCTTCACTGCACAAAATGGCCCCAAAGCTAAAAATAGAAAAATCCTGTCAGGCCTTCACAGGTCAAACTACTGGTGTGATTTCAACCAAACTTTACAGGAGTGATCAGTGGTCCATTCCTAGTATCACTGACAGGTTCCGCTTCGCTGCACAAAATGGCCACCAGAGCTTAAAATATAAAAATATTGTCTGGCCTTCACAGGGAAAACTACTAGTGGGATTTGAACTAAACTTTACAGGAGTGATCAGTACCATCCCTAGTTGTGCACATCGCAGGCACGTCCCTCTTCGTTGCACAAAAAGGCCAACAGAGCTAAAAAAAATCTTGTCCGGCTTTCACAGGTCAAACTACTGGTGGGATTTCAATTAAACATTAAAAGAGTTATCAGTACCATCCCTAGTTGTGCAAATGGCAGCCAGAGCTGTAAATAGAAAAATCTTATCCAGCTTTCACAAGTCAGTCTGCTGGTGGCAGTTCAATGAAAACTGCACAGCAATGTTTAGTACCATCCCAAGTTGTGCATAGCACGGCATGTACTCCTTGCTGCATAAAATGGCCACCAGAGCTATCAATAGAAAAGTCTTGTATGCTTTTCACAGGTCAAGCTTCTTGTGGGATTTCAATGAAACTTCACATGAGTGATTATTACCATCCCTAGTTGTGCATATTGCCAGCATGTATGCCTTGCTGCACAAAATGGCTGCCAGAGCTAAATATAGAAAAATCCTGTCGGGCTATTAGAGGTCAAACTGCAGGTGGGATTTCCACCAAAATTTACTGGAGTGATCAGAATCATACATAATTTTGGGAGACATAAGTTTTTGTGACAAAAACCCTTCTAGTTAAAAATACTTTATGCATAAAGTATGGTCTAGTGACCAAAATCTTTCAAATTGTTATAATAAACACTAGCTTTCACTGCTTTTCACAAATAACAGTCTGTCCTTAGGTAAGCCCTGTGGGGCTAATTGCCTCATTGTTATCCCCCGTGGATGGAATCGGGAGGGGGATTATTGTGTTGGCGTTGTCCGTCCCTCCGGGCTATTTAAGAGAAGTAGGGGGCCATCTAACTGTAAACAGAACAAAAGAGAGCAATAGAATTCATTCTGTATCAATAGAATAAGAGGCAATGACCCTCTATTAAACAAAAGAAAATAACAAAAGAAATGGCCCCTTTTTAAGTGGCACTTCTGTCTGTCCTTCTGTATTTCGTTTCCACGCTAGTTCTCTGCAATTACTGGCTGGAATTCAATGAAACTTTATGGGAATCATCAATATCAAGAGGAGATGCGCATATCGTCGGCTTGTTCCAGTCAGACCTTTTAACTCAGAGTTATGGCCCTTGATTAGTTAAACATTATGCATATAGAGCAGAAAACTTTCCGCGCTACTTCTCTGCAACTACTGGCTGGACTTCAACGAAACTTTATGGGAACCTTTAATACCAAGAGGAGATGGGCATATCGTCTTCTTCTTCGGGTCAGACACTTTAACTCAGAGTCATGGCCCTTGATTAGTTATGCAGTATGCATTAAAAGAGCAAAAATCGTTTCGCCCTACTTCCCTGCAACTACTGGCTCGAATTCAACAAAACTTTATTGGAACCTTCAATACCAAGAGGAGATGCGCATATCTTTGCCTTGTTCCTGTCAGACACTTTAAGGGACTCCACTGAGGTTTAAAAGCCTAACATAACATTTGAATGTCGTACATAAATGAGCTTGGGCACTTTAAACAGAAATATATGCAAAGATCATTAATAAATATACCCTGAAATAGATTGTAAATCGTATTTTTATGCTTTTCTTAGCCCGATTTGAGAGAAAAGCGTTTAAACGCTTTTCATTTTGGGGCATTTTTTACAATTTGAATAATTATTCTTGAAAAACGAAGTGCGCGAATGATCTGAAATTTTGCACAAAGATTAGTGGTCTAAACCAACATCAAATGGTACATTTATCTGGAAAAAATATTTTCACTCCCATCATGTTAAAAAACCTCAGTGGAGTCCCTTTAACTCAGAGTTATGGCCCTTGATAAGTTATGCAGTATGCATATAGAATAATAATCGTTTCCGCGCTACTTCTCTGCAACTACTGGCTGGAATTCAACGAAATTTTATTGGAACCTTCAATACCAAGAGGAGATGGGCATATCATTGCCTTGTTCCGGTCAGACACTTTAACTCAGAGTTATGGTCCTTGATTAATTAAACAGTATGCATATAGAACAATAATTTTTTCCGCGCTACTTCTCTGCAACTACTGGCTGGAATTCAACGAAACTTTATGGGAACCTTCAATACCAACAGGAGATGTGCATATCGTTGCCTTGTTCCGGTCAGACACTTAAATCAAAGTAATAGCCCTTGATTAGTTATGCAGTATGCATATAGAGCAATAATCGTTTCCGCGCTACTTCTCTGCAACTACTGGCTGGAATTCAACGCAAACTTTATGGGAATCATCAATATCAAGAGGAGATGCGCATATCGTCGGCTTGTTCCAGTCAGACCCTTTAACTCAGAGTTATGGTCCTGGATTATTAATCGATATGCATATAGAACAATAATCATTTCCGCGCTACTTCTCTGCAACTACTGACAGGAAGTTAATGAAACTTTCTGGGAACCTTCAATACCAAGAGGAGATGTGCATATCGTCGCTTTGTTCAGTTCAGACACTTTAACTCATAGTTATTGCCCATGATTAGTTATGCAGTATGCATATAGGGGAAACTTTATGGAATTTTCAATACCAAGAGGAGATGCGCATATCATCGCCTTGTTCCGGTCAGACACTAATTCAGAGTTATGGTCCTTGATTAGTTATACAGTATGCATATAGAGTAATAATTGTTTCCACGCTACTTCTCTGCAACTACTGGCTGGAATTCAATTAAACTTTATGGGAACCATTAATACCAAGATGAGATGTGCATAATTTGTTGCCTTGTTCAGACCAGACCCTTCGTTACAGAGTTATGGCCCTTGATTAGTTATGTAGTATGCATATAGAGCAATATTTATTTGCAATTGCTGTATTGATTTCAACAAAACTTTATGGGAACCATAGGTACAAAAAGGCAATATACATCTCATTGCCATGTCCAGATATTACTATTTAACACCGAGTTAATTAAGGCTCTGTTATTGCCCTGAATATTTATTATGTACAAAGAATATTACTGTTTACGCCATGATAAATATATAAATGAAGCCTGATGTCTTCAGTTGTGTGTTGGTAATAACCAGTACTCGGCGGGGGATATAAATTCAACGAATTTGCTTGTTTATATTATAGCCCTTCAGTTAAAATTGGTCCTGCCACGGGGGTCATGCTTTTTTCTTTTTTTTAATAAATCCTCTAATATATCCTTGAAAACCTTACGATATTTATTATTATACCCCCGCACAACAAAGTTGTAAGGGGGGTATACTGGAATCAGCTTGTCTGTCTGTCTGTCCGTCGGTTTTTTCTTGTCCTCCCAATAACTTAAGATTCCTTTGACCCACAGTCTTCATATTTGGCATAGAGATAAGTCATGATTAGTAGATGACCCCTATTGATTAGGAGGTCACCAGGTCAAAGGTCAAGGTCACAGGGGCCTTGAAACCGCCTCCATGGTCGAGGGGTTAGAGTCGATGACTTCTAATCCAGTTACCTCTCTGGCGTGGGTTCGATCCCCGGGAGATGCTTTGGTAGTTAAGTGCGGAGGAAGGTAGTCTAGTACTGGTGTAACTCTCCAGGAACGATGATAAGGAAACAACCCGCCTTTATGACTGAAATAATGTTGGGAAAAGGCGTAAAATGAAACAAACACAGGGGCATTGACTTCAAAAAGCTTGTCCGCCCAATAACTTAAGATTCCTTTGACCCACAGTCTTCACATTTGGCATGGAGGTTAGTCATGATTAGAAGATGACCCCTATTGATTAGGAGGTCACCAGGTCAAAGGTCAAGGTCACAGGGGCCTTGAAACCGCCTCCGTGGTCGAGGGGTTAGAGTCGATGACTTCTAATCCAGTTACCTCTCTGGCGTGGGTTCGATCCCCGGGAGATGCTTTGGTAGTTTAGCGCGGAGTAAGGTAGTCTAGTACTGGTGTAACTCTCCAGGAACGATGGTTAGGAAACTACCCGCCTATATGACTGAAATACTGTTGGGAAAAGGCGTAAAATGAAACAAACAAATACAGGGGCCTTGACTTCAAAAAGCTTGTCTGTCCAATAACTTAAGATTCATTTGGCCCACAGTATTCATATTTGGCACGGAGGTTAGTTATGATTAGTAGATGACCCTTATTGATTATGAGGTCACAAGGTCAAAGGTCAAGGTCACAGTGGCTTTGACTTCAAAAAGCTTGTCCGCCAAATAACTTCTGATTCCTTTGACCCACAGTCTTCATATTTGGCATTGAGGTTAGTCATGATTAGTAGATGACCCCTATTGATTTTAAGGTGACCAGGTCAAGGTCACAGTGGCCTTGACTTCAAAAAGCTTGTCCGCCCAATAACTTAAGATTCCTTTGACCCACAATCTTCATATTTGGCATGGAGGTTAGTCATGATTAGTAGATGACCCCTATTGATTTTGAGATCACCAGGTTAATGGTCACGGTCAGAAGGGCCTTGACTTAAGAAAGCTTATCTGCCCAATAACTTAGAATCATTTGATCCACAGTCTTCATATTTGGCATGGAGGTTGATCATGACCATTGAGTGACCCTACAGATTTTGAAGTCAATGCCTTTAGTTCAAAAATCTTTCCCGCAGAAGAATGCTTTGGTCAACAGTCTTCATATTTAGTATTGAGGTTGGTTATGACTATAAGATGACCTCTATTGATTTTTAGGTGACTGTGTCAAAGGTCAAGGTCACGGAGGCTTTTATTACAATAAGCTTGTCTGCTCAAATGCTTAAGAATGCCCGTCCACAGTGTATTGATTTGGCAAAGCTGCATGAATGGTGGGGGTTGCGGGGCAATTGAAGTCATTCAGTGGCAGTTTCAGTTTTGAGGTCAGTAGGTCAAAGGTAAAGGTCACTTTGATCTTTGCCACTAAAAACATGTAGAATACATAACTTAGCAAAGCACTGGCTTACTTCTCTCAGATTTTGCTGGGAGGTTGTCCTTGAGCTCTAAATGACTACTGTTAATTCTGACAAGGTGGTATGCGAGGGTATTAACGCCATGACAGTGGCAGTTCTAATTACAATAAGCTCGTCTGCTCAAATGCTTAAAAATGCCTGTCCACAGTGTATTGAGTTTTACATTTTCACATTTGAAGCATATAATTATGTTCTCATATATTCATCATAAAACACCCCAGGCAAAGCTGCATGAATGGGGGGGGGGGTATTCAAGTCATGCAGTGGCAGTTTCAGTTTTGAGGTCAGTAGGTCAAAGGTAAAGGTCACTTTGATCTTTGCCACTAAAAACATGTAGAATACATAACTTAGCAATGCACTGGCTTACTTCCCTCAGATTTGGCTGGGAGGTTGTCCTTGAGCTCTAAATGACCACTGTTGATTCTGACAAAGTGGTATGCGGGGGTATTAACGCCATGACAGTGCCAGTTCTAGTTAAACATAGTCTTGTGGACCTGAGCAAATATTATTCAAATTGTAGCCCTTGAGTCAAAATTAGCCCAATCCAGGAGAAACATAGATTTTCCTTATTTATGACAACCAGTTGATATCCATAGTAACCATTAACTCGCATAGCAACCATTGACTTTCAATAGCAACCATTGACTTTCAATAGCAACCGTTGACTTTCAATAGCAACCAGGGACTTTCCATATGAACCACTGAGCTCCATTGCAATAATTCCATAGCAGTCAGTGAAATTGCAACCATTGTCTTTCCATAGCAACAATTGTTTTCCATAGCAACCCCTTAGTTTTCTATAGCAACAGTGATTTCCATAGCAACCATTGACTTCCCATTACAATATGTGACTTTCCCTAGCAACCATTGACTTTCCATAACAACCAGAGATTTTCCATAGCAACCACTGAGTTTCATTGCATTCAATGACTTTTCATAGCAGTCAGTGAAATCCCATAGCAACCTTTGACTTTCCATAGCATTCAGTGACTTCCCATAGCAACCAGTGACTTACATGGCAACCATTGATATTAAATGGCAACCAAAAACCTCTTTAGCAACCAGTGACTTGCCACAGCAACCATTGCATCTCCATGGCAATCATTCACTTTCTTTGCAACCAGTAACCAATATTTCAACCATTGTCTATTCATAGCAACCATTGATTTCCATAGCAACCCCTAACTTTTATAACAACAGTGATTTCCATAGCAACCATTGACTTCCCATAGCAACCATTGACTATCCACAGCAAGCTGTTAAGTGCACATTGTCTTTCATTTGAAATGCTTTTATATTCACTAGACACTCCTTCATTATGGCACTGTTCAATTGTATAGAAAAAAAGCTACATCTGTTCCTTTTATTTAGTGTTGTATTAATGCGGTGGCATAGCATTTTTCACAAATGCAATCTTGTTTTTATAGATCATATCCTCTTGTGAGTGTTTAAGGGCAATCACCACCCTCATATTTTAGAAAATGTACAGTTTACTATCCAACAGTAAGAAAAAGAGCTCTTTGGACAGCTGTTGTTGTTTTAAGAGCTACAGCTATGACATTTGGACTAAATGGGAACTTTCAGATGCAGAATTTAATTATGCCCCCCTCCAAAGAAGTGGGGGTATATTGCTTTGCATTTGTCTGTCGGTCTGTCCGTTGACCAAATGGTTTCTGAGTGATAACTAAAGAACGCTTAGGCCTAGGAACTTCAAACTTGGTATCATGAGTGTACATGACCAGCAGATGACCCCTATTGATTTTGGGGTCAAGGGGTGGAAGGTCAAGGTCACATTGACCTAATAGATAAAAACAATTTCCGATCAATAATTAAAGAATGCTTAGGCCTAGGAACTTCAAACTTGGTATGATGATTGTTCATGACCAGCAGATGACCCCTATTGATTTTGGGTCAAGGAGTCAAAGGTCAATGTCACATTGACCTTGTAGGTAAAAACGGTTTTTGAGTGATAACTGGAAAACGCTTAGGCCTAGACATCAAACTTGGTATGATGGTTGTTCATGACAAGCAGATGACCCCTATTGATTTTGTGATAAAGGGAACAAAGGTCAAGGTCACATTAACCTTGTAGGTAAAAAAGGTTTCTTATCTGTAACTAAAGAAAGCTTAGGCCTAGGAACTTCAAACTTTGTATGATGATTGTTCTTGACCAGCAGATGACCCCTATTGATTTTGGGGTCAAGGGGTCAGAGGTCAAGGTCACATTGACCTTGTAAGTAAATACAGTTTCCAATCAATAATTAAAGAACGCTTAGGCCTAGTAACTTCATACTTGGTTTGATGATTGTTCATGACCAGCAGATGACCCCTATTGATTTTGGTGTCAAGGAGTCAAAGGTCAAGGTCACATTTACCTTGTAGGTAAAAAACGGTTTCCGATCAATAACTAGATAACCAATGGGCTGTTGGCCCTCAAACTTGGTAGGTGCATTGGACTGGACCAGTAGATGATTCCTATTGATTTTGGGGTCAAGGGGTCAAAGATCAAGGTTGCATTGACCTTGTGGATAAAAAGGTTTCCTATCAATAACTTGACAAGCTATGGGTTTTTGGCCCTGAACTTTTGAAGGTGCATTGGTCTTGGCCAGTAGATGACCCCTAATGATTTTTGGGTCAGGGGAACAAAGGTCAAGGCATTGACCTTGTATTTCAAAATGGTTTTCTATGAGGGGTTAGAGTCGATGACTTCTAATCCAGTTACCTCTCTGGCGTGGGTTCAATCCCCGGGAGATGCTTTGGTAGTTTAGCACGGAGGAAGGTTGTCTAGTACTGGTGTTACTCTCAAGGAACGATGGTTAGGAAACTACCCACCTATATGACTGGAATACTGTTTGGAAATGGCGTAAAATGAAACAAACAAACCAACAAACAAAATTTATCAATAACTGGACAACCCATGAACCCTTGACCTTCAAGCTTTACAGATGCATTGCTTTTGGTCAGAAGATGACGTCAATGGATTATGTGGCGTTAAGGGGTCAAAGGTCAAGATCACATTGACCTTATAGGTACCAACGCTTTCTGATCAATATCCCAACTCATTGGCCCTTTACCTTCAAACTTCACAGGTGCATTGGTCTTTGCCAGTAGATAACCCCTATTTATTTAGGGTCAAAGGTCAATGTCATGTTGACCTTGTATGAAAGACTGTTTCTGACCATTAATTCAACAACTCAAGTTGCCTTGATTGATATTTTTTTTATTAAACAAAAAATCTTTTCGGTATACACATTTCAAGGTCTTATGTAATATAACAAATTGGCTGTCATTAATGAGGCCTACATGATTCATAAAATTTTTGCATACCGGTATATTATTTGGTAAGATTTGAAATAACTTTGTCATAAAATTGCTGCACACAACCTTTGCGGTCACAATTGCCTGGTGACTATTCATGACTAATTATTAACCCTTATTGATTTTTTGGTCACATTACTAATTGGCTGCCGATAGGGGCATACATGTTATATAAACATATCTTGTTTTGAAATAAGTTGAACTAAAATTTTTCTGTGTGGCCTTTCTAGCTCACCAAAAACAAAGGTTCTGGGGTGTTATAAATAGATATGGTATTGAAATATCAATAGACTTGTTAATGTTTCAAATTTGGTTCTATATAATGTGACATTGCCATATCGGTTAGGGGATTTTTATTGCTACAAATGCTTTAAGTATTTTGACATGAAAAAAACCTGTTGCATACTTGCTATGTAAATATCTATAAGATTGTAGTATGTTAGACCTGAGAAACCTGACAGACCTGAGAAATAAGGGGTTAAATCTTCTTTTCATATTCATGTAAATTACATTAGGAAAAAACAACAAAGAAAGACAGCAAATATTATTATCTTTACTCATGTTATGCTTTTTTGTTTTCTTTTACAGACGGACATGTCCAAGTATGAAAATATAGTTGTTTTTGGTGTAGATTCATTGGTCAGTATGTTTTATGCTAATAATATGCATTTAATATTACTGTTCGCTTAAACTTGGAGGGCCTGAGAAATAGATAGTTCCAGCCAACTGAGAATGGACTATTATCACGTAGGACATAGGTCTAAATGTTTTCCAGCTAACATCGGTCGAATGATAAATACTTCAACATAATTGTTTGTTAGTACATCAGTTCGTAGAATACGTCATTTCTTGTAATTATTAACAAATGAGTATTAACGGTAAACTGTTATTCTATATTTATGCATATTGTAATTGGTTGAGTTCGATTGGATAAACATTTTCCAAACTTGAACAATGTTCAAAATAATTTATTAATTTATTATGGGATAAATTTTATTATAAACAATAAATTAAAATGTTTAAAAAATCATTTTACAGCAGCATCTATTTGTAGTCATTTACTAGAATAAACACACATACAAGTATCTTTATATAAACAGATAACATGGTTACAATACACATTACATATACCGCGGCTGTAATTAAAGTTGTCCGGGTAAACGTGATTTATGGATCTTTGCACATTTCCTTTACTATGAAATTATTGAATTGAATTGATATTTCATGACTTATTAGCTCACCAGAACTGAAGGTTCAGGGGGAGCTATTAGTATCAAATGTGGATGCTCCGGCGTTGTGCAGATTTACCTCAAATTTGGTCTGTAGCATCCTTGTGACAGTCACACTTTAATTTAATTATGTCATGTCAATTGGCCCTTTTAGGGTTTAACCACTTCTCCTACTGAACTAATTGATAGATGGTCACCAAACTTTGTCTGTAGCATTCTTGGGTAGTCTTTTATCAAATTTGCTCATTTGAATTTGATTGGACCGTTTAAGTTGTCACGAAAGCTAAAAAAAATGGAAAAACCTTTAAACATCTTCTGCTGTTTACCCATTTAATTTTTTGGTACTGGAGTCTGGAAACAGATAATGTGTAACAATTGTAATTATTATATTCCTTTTTTGTGTGTGTTCTGACAATTCAGCAGTTTGTCCATCTGTAAGCTGTCAAATGTAAGCTTCAATATACAAATACTGTAGTAGTATGTTTTGTGCAAGGTCATTGTCCAAAGGTCAAGGTTAGACTTATGGATATATATTTGAATATAATTATATTTGAGAAATTTTATATTAGCATGTATACACAATGTTAACTAGATCAACACCAAATAGAACAATTTTTCACCTTAGTGCAGAGACACATTAAGCCATTACTGCACTAATGATAAATTGGTGTATTCTGTAAAATATTTTGTGCTTTTTCAATGTATTTCTGTTATAACTATAAACACATACTCACAGATTCAAAAATTCTCAAAGAACAGGTAACTAAATGGTCAGTTTAACAACATTTTCAGGCACCCTAATTACAATGAGATGTAATATTTAGCCACAAGTGTAGGTAATTATTAAGATATATAAGGACATAATGTGATATAATAGTCGCTCACCAGTGTAGGTAGGTATAATTAATTAGATATTTCAAGACTAGATAGTCACTATGTAAAAGTGGGCCACCAGTGTAAGTAGGTATTTATAATGAGATATTTCAAGACAAAATAGTTTGTACTAGTAGGCCACCAGTGTAGGTAGGTATAAGTTATGAGATATTTCAAGACTAAATAGTTTGTAAAAGTGGGCCACCAGTGTAGGTAGGTATAAATAATTAGATATTTCAAGACAAGGTAGTTTGTAATAGTTGCCCACCAGTGTAGGTAGACATTAATGATAAGACTTTTCAAGACTAGATAGTTGGTAATAGTGGCCCATCACGGTAGGTAGGTATTATGATAAGATATTTTAAGGCTAAATAGGATTTAAGAGTGTAGGTAGGCATTTATAATAAGATATTTCAAGACTAGATAGTTTGTATTAGTGGCCCACCAGTGTAGGTAGGTATTATAATAAGATATGTTAAGTTTGTAATAGTGGCCAACCAGTGTAGGTAGGTTTAATTATAATATTATTATAATAAGATATGTTAAGGCTTAATATGATTTAAGAGTGGACTACCAATGTAGGTAGGCATTTATAATAGGATATTTCAAGACTAGATAGTTTGTAATAGTGGCCCACCAGTGTAGGTAGGTATTTATAATGAGATATGTTAAGGCTAAATAGGATTTAATAGTGGCCCACCAGTGTAGGTAGGTTATAATAATAAGATAGTTCAAGACTAGATAGTTTGTAATGGTTGGCCACCAGTGTAGGTAGGTATTTATAATGAGATGTATTAAGGCTAAATAGTATATAATAGTGGGCCAGCAGTGTAGGAAGGCATAATAATAAGATATTTTAAGACTTGATAGTTTGTAATTGTGGCCCACCAGTACAGGTAGGTATTTGTAATGAGATATGTTAAGGCTAAATATGATTTAATAGAGGTCCACCAGTGTAGGTAGGTATTAATAATTAGATATTTCAAGACTAGATAGTTTGTAATAGAGGCCAATCAATTTGTAGGTAGGTATTTATAATGAGATATGTTAAGGCTAAATAGGATTTAATAGTGGCCCACCAGTGTAGGTAGGTATTAATGATTAGATATTTCAAGACTAGATAGTATGTAATAGTGGCCCACCAGTGTAGGTAGGTATTTATAATGAGATATGTTAAGGCTAAATAGGATTTAATAGAGGTCCACCAGTGTAGGTAGGTATTAATAATTAGATATTTCAAGACAAGATAGTTTGTAATAGTGGCCCACCAGTGTAGGTAGGTATTTATCATGAGATATATTAAGGTTAAATAGGATTTAATAGTAGGCCACCAGTGTAGCTTGGTAATTACATGTATAATGAGATATATCAAGACATACTTATGTCTCCACCATATATGGGGCATTTAGTGTTACCCTGTTCCGTCATTCTGTCACTCCGTCATCATTAGTTTCCGTTCATTATCTTAGTAACGGTTGCACACATTTAACTCAAATTTGACATATGGATATGTCATTAAAAAATACAGGGCAAGTACTAATTTGGTCATGGTTCGATGATTTTTGGCAGAGTTATGCCCCTTTTACTTTGAAAATAATATGAAATTTTCAGTTTCCGTTCATTACCTCCCCAACCGTATTACACATTCAACATGGATATGTCAAGAGAAAATACGGGCCAAGTTCGAATTTGGTCATGGTTTGATGATTTTTGGCAGAGTTTTGCCCCTTTTACTTTGAAAATAATATGAAATTTTCAGTTTCCGTTCATTATCTCCCCAACCGTATTACACATTCAACTCAAACTTGACAAATGGATATGTCATGAGAAAATACAGGTCAAGTTTGAATTTTGTCATGGTTCTATGATTTTTAGCAGAGTTATGCCCCTTTTATTTTGAAAATAATATGAAATTTTCAGTTTCCGTTCATTATCTCCCCAACAGTATTACACATTCAACTCAAACTTGACATTTGGATATGTCAAAGGAATGCGCAGGTCAAGTTCGAATTTGGTCAAGGTTCCATGATTTTTGACAGAGTTATGCCCCTTTCACTTTGAAAACAATATGAAATTTTCAGTTTCTGTTCATTATCTCCCCAACAGTATTACACATTCAACTCAAATTTTACATATGGACACGTTAAAAGAATGCGAAGGCCAAATTTGAATTGGGTCCTGGTTCCATTATTTTTGGCAGAGTAATGCCCCTTTCACTTTGAAAATAATATGAAATTTTCAGTTTCTGTTCATTACCTCCCCAACAGTGTTACATATTCAACTCAAATTTTACTTATGGATATGGCAAAGGAATGCACAGGTCAAGTTCGAATTTGGTCATGGTTCGATGATTTTGGCAGAGTTATGCCCCTTTAACTTTGAAAAAAGGAAATTTTCAATTCACATTCATTATCTCCCCAACAGTTGTACATATTCAACAACAAATTAAAGATATGGATATGTCATAAGAATGCATTGGTCAAGTTCGAATTTGGTCATGGTTTGATGATAGCTGACAGAGTTATCCCTCTTGAACTTTGAAAAAAAATCAGAAATTTTAAGTTTCTGTTCATTATCTCCCCAATGGTTGTACACATTCAACTCAAATTTGACATATAGATACATCTTAGGAATAAGCAGTTCAAGTTTGAATTTGGTCGTGGTTCAATGATTTTGGACAAAGTTATTTTTCTTGAATGATGGAAAAAAATTGAATTTTCAGTTTCAGCACTCGTACTTTTGTGGAAATGTATGTACCCATTACTTTGGCTACAAATATGCATCATATGCAATTTACAAAAGGTTAACACTGAATAGTTTCAGTGCCTTGAACTTTGTATAAAAATGGTTTGTGTTAACATTGAATAATTTTAAGGGCTTTGAACTTAAAATGAAAAAAATAATTTGTGCAAACAAATTTGGAACTAAATATTATAACATCTGAAATTTTGGTTGCATGCGGGGGCATCTGTGGCATGATGACACATTTCTAGTTTCAATTTTTGTTCTAATTTTTCTCTAAAATTAACCTCTCGGATCCAAACAGGTTTTGCCAAATGTCACACCTACATTCAAAATAACAAATAATAGCACATCTTGCAGGTGTAAACATACACCAAACTGATAAAAGTAATTTCGCTTGATTAATGGGTGCCAAGGTGTGAAAATTACACTTAGCTTGCCTTGATAACTACTATAATTCTTAAATTGATTGTTTTTCGTCCGCTCCAATAAATATTTTGATTGAATGCAATACAAATAACTTTTAATCTTTTGTAATGAATTTTATGACATGAGATTAAGTAATGGAAATTTATGGAAACTGTCAGTGAATTAGGATAATCGCTGAATTGGATAAGAGTTAACAACAATTATTGACAAATGCTAGTACAAATATTTAATAATTTCTCTGCGTCCTGTTAACATCATAGGTTAACTTGCCCTTGAGAACATAACATTTTTGCTTATTTATTTATTTATTAGCTCACCTTGCACAAAGTGCAGGTGAGCTTTTAGGATGGCCAACCGGTGTCCGGC